TATATGAGTCAAACTCTGACATGTTGTAGTTCTATATGAGTCAAACTCTGACATGTTCTAGTTCTATATGAGCCGAACTCTGACATGTTGTAGTTCTATATGAGTCAAACTCTGACACGTTGTAGTTCTATATGAGTCAAACTCTGACACGTTGTAGTTCTATATGAGTCAAACTCTGACATGTTGTAGTTCTATTTGAGCCAAACTCTGACATGTTGTAGTTCTATATGAGCCAAACTCTGACATGTTGTAGTTCTATATGAGCTAAACTCTGACATGTTGTAGTTCTATTTGAGCCAAACTCTGACATGTTGTAGTTCTATATGAGTCAAACTCTGACCCTGGGATAAGTGAAAAACCGCAAAGTAGGAATAGTAGTATAAGTAGTAAGTAGTAGTTCAATTTAGTATTTACTATTAATATATATAAAGGCGTTTTAAACCCTTCCCACATTCGTGCAATATTCTAAACAATGTTTCTAAACTCCAAATGCTCTAAAAGAGCACAGAATGTCATGATCTCTGCCACGCCCACTTCTCTGCTGCAATCGCTGGCAGGTGGCAGAGAGTGGAGATCATGACTTGCTGCACGAGGGATGTTCTCCTTGCACCTGTGGGCTAAACATTTAAAATAATTTATTTTAAATATGAAATCCATGCTGCTCATCCATCAATCAGCCAGTTGTGTGTCATGTCCAATCTTACTTTGAAAAATCGCGAAAGAGCGAGTCCACGAAAGTTGAACCGCGAAGCAGCGAGGGACTACCGTATATATCATGTGCATTTTAGCTTATTTTACTATATTGAAATACTTATTCATACAAATTTATCCTACTTGCATCATTTATATTCTACTATGTTGTTGTTTACTATTTCTTTTTAGGACCTTGTAAATATTACAGGTATATTTAATCTTTTAACTTTTTGGTACTTTATTTTTGTACCCTTATTGCATGCTTGAGTACCGGTATATTCTTCTTTGTTTGTTCTTTGTTTTTTAGCGAATCAAATGGGTTCAACTCATCCTGAACATTTCATTGTACTGTTAACGTTGTGTTAACCTACATGTGACAAATAAACAGAACTTAAACTTATGTGAGCAGAACTCTGAAACGTTCTAGTTCTATGTGAGCAGAACTCTGAAACGTTCTAGTTCTATGTGAGAAGAACTCTGAAACGCTCTAGTTCTATGTGAGCAGACTAAGTGAAGAAAAGCACCAGAGCTGCAGTTTCCTGCAGATCCTGAAGTGTTCAAACAGAAAGTCTGATCTTTAAAGAGACAAAGTGTTGAACAGCTGAAAAAGAGCAGGACTCAGGTCCAGTTCTGATGGTTCTGATGATGGACGTCTCTTAAAAGTCTCACATACTTTCCCTAAAATGCTCAGAGGACCACGTCCATGTTTGGACACGTTTGTTAGATGTACGAGAGACACGACAACGAGCTCATAAAGACTGATGTTATCTGCTGATTGACGCATGGATACACACAAACAAACACATGCACTCCACACACACACACACACACACACACACACACACACACACACACACAC